ACCTGTTTACGAGGTGGGGCTAGAGTTCAGGTATTCATTCAGGTGAACTGCGCTTCCAGTTCTTGGAAAAACGCTTTATTGTGATTTTATATTTGGGATTTCTACAAATATCAGCATAATTAAAGTAGGACAATGATTTAATTGTGTGATTTTTATAGTTATGTTAAAGCTTCACTTATAGTTAGTATCAGTCATGTGATTGCGTGGGCTTATTCGTGAAACAGTGATGAATCACTTCTGAATCACCTGCATTTTTTTTTCTTATAGTGAAACGGTTTCGTTATGCCGCCAAACAGAAACAAGTCCGCGAGACGTATTTCATTCAACCAGAGTATCAAACCGCAGAACATGGCGGATTGATATAAGATGATGAATCCGTCTGATACAGAAAATGAATGAGAACTCTTTGAACTGGTTGAAGTACGGAAGAGGATTAGGGCCACTGCGGGAAAAAAAAAAAAGTGGGCACGTCTTTTTTTTTCTTCTTTTCTTGAATTCTGAGGGAAAAAAAAGTCAGAATTCTGACTTTTTTCTCAGATTTTTTTTTTCCAGTGGCCCTAATCCTTTTCCGTATTGAAGTGATTATTTTAGTGCAATGAAAAAATAAATAGGCTGTTCCGTTTTCTTAAAGCTTACATTTTCTGGATTTCATTAAACTAAACAGGATTACATTTTGGACAGCCGATCAAACAGAAATTAGTGTTATTATTATTTCTACCTTGAGCTTTTATGTGTAGATTACTTTGAAAGTCCAATTAAAGCACTTCTTAAGTATTAACTTTTGCTCCCACTACAAAAAAAACAAAAAAACAAAAAACTATTTATGAAACAAAAAACAACACACCCATATGTAAGTTGTGAGTTTATTGACGTGTATCCCCCTTGTAACCATAAATCTGTTTCCACTGGTGTCAATCAAAATGTTTTAAATCACTAATATGCATAATATATTAGTTCCCAGTCCCCTCCACAATCAAGCAGGCTATTACAAGATTGAAGCCGTTTGGGTGCATAGTGAGACAGTCACATACAGAGATACTGTCACAGGAAGAGAAAGAAAAATAGAAAACAAGAAAAAAAACTCAAATATATATATATATATATTTTTTCATATAAGAACAATGCACACCACATGGAATCCTCTGGAAAAAAGCCATGATTGCAACATCAACTATACAGGCATACAAAGACAATACTAAGATAAAGAGAGAGAAAAGAGGATCCTAGGATTCAGTTTACTTGTTTGTGTCGATCTCTAAGCTGTAAAATTACACAAGTTTTTTTTACTTTTTTAAAATCTTTCTTCCAGAAACCAGTTCTCCAAGCTTCAACTTTCTGTGTGTCTCTGTCTGCCTGCACAGCCCTCCAGCTCCAAACTGTTTTCAGGTAGCTTTGATGTATGGCCGGCCCAAGCATGTCCCAGTGCCAAAATCCTAAAATCAACACTGCAAAATTTGTTACACATCCCAATAAAAAAAGCAAAAATTTTATTACCAGCCAAAATTTATACTTTTTTTTTTTTTTTTCCCACAAAAAGGTAGACTGAGTCATTTCCTAGATTTCTTGTTCCATACTACGCATATTGTTTTATTTGTGCCTCTGGACTAGCACTGCTATAAGTTTCCATACTATTCTTTACTTTATGACCAGCAAACTAGCTAGAATATGAATGCACATCATTCCTAAATTTGTATTCAGAGTAGCCTCACTTATACTGTGTTTTTACTTCAGATGATGTGTGCAACACTTAAGAACCCCCTTTAAAAACAAAGCATTGTCTGTTTGTGGCACGTCTTTGCACACCTCAGTCTATGTGACACTACACTGAAATTAAAACCCAAAGGGCGTCTGTGAAATACATAGCATGGAAATGGCTTCCATAATACATTCAACTATGTAACACATGTCAGTAAGTCTTTTTATTTACTGAACTTCCCTAATGATAAAATATTTGTGTGGGTAGAAGGGAATACATCATCACATTCACTTAGTAAGGGGTTTGGAGCAGGGTTTGTGAGATGTATTTGAGCTGGGGGCCTGTGCACACCTTCCCCGAAGCTTTCTTATTGTGTGCCTGCAAACATTCACGACCACAAAGCTAAGAACCCTAAACCAACTCATAACGTCTCCCCTGGGGGAAAAAAGGTGGAATAAAAACATCTATTCTTATATATATATTTCAGTTGTATATGTATACAGCATTTTGTTATCATAACAAAGAACAGAAAGTAAATAATTCATGATTTCACTTTTTTCTCAGTTGTTGTTTCACTAAACGTTTTAATTGGTACAAAGAACCTTCATATACAAGCAATCTATCGAGAGGAAAAAGAACAAAACGTCAATTAGTTTTGAGAATACCATCAGAAACTGCATGAATGACACTTTGCATGATGGGGAAACAAAAGCATAGTGTCTAGTAAGCGGGTTTATTGATGGCTGCTCAAAAATAATGAAATTTAATATGATTCGCCTTTAAAAATATAATAAAATAAAGAAATGTCCGGAAAAAAAATGTTATACATCTTGATCTGAGATAGCTGTATGATAATTACAGATAAATCTGCAGAATCACATTTTCCATTATGCAAACTGGCAAATACATCACCTTTTAAAAAGAAACATGATCAAAAAGAGCACTATAGTACAATAGTAGCAGTAGTAGAAGTAGTAGCATTACTTAAGGATTGTTTTGAACAAACCAGTAAATGGAGTTTGGATGTATGCAAATGATTTTAACAATAGCATCGTGTTGGTCAGTAGTATGCTCCCCCTCGGTTGCCATCCTCTTATCAGACTCTACAGCACCCCATGTAGGCTCTGGTTAGATTTGCATCTGCTCTAGGTATTTGTAGGTGGGATTTTCATAGCCGTGGTTCTGCATCTTGTTCAGGTGTCGTTCCTCTGGTGTCAGCATGGGGTCAACCTGCAAGATAGAGAGATAGATAGACAGATGCACTTTTTTAAAAATAAGACCACCACAAAGGCCTACATATGACAACTCTTCATGCTGTGGCATGCATAAATGCTGCAGGAGGACAATAATCTAATTTGCATTTCCATATCCAGCTCTAATCATATACGTCCTAAAAATTTAATAGCTAGCTGATACTTGCAATAAGAAGAGCCACAGTTAATTAGAGAGCTCTGCTGTGTGGTTATGTGCCCTTCAAATAACAGGTGGCTTACCTCCACAATGCCGTGACTGATTGTGCCATATTGCCTTTTCCTCAAAAGCACCAGGCTGGTCACAATCACAGTTGCTATGGCCACCGCGATCACCAGCAAGCCAATCAGTGCACTGCTACCGAAGCTGAAGTCTTCTCCCAGAGGGCGGTAGGACTCCTAACAGGGAGAATGAGTCAGGGAAAGACAGGGAGAGCAGTCAGGAGACAACAAATGCAAACACAGCAGACCACTGAAGCAATGAAAAGAAACAGTGAAGTTGTTTTTCTGCAATAATGAAGACACTTCATGTACGTACTAGCTCGTACCTCGTTCTATTTAGCCATTCTGAACACAAGATTGCCCTGGACCTTTTTATGTTTAGGGTACAGAGGAATCTTGTAGTAGCTTCTACTTCTGTGATATGCATATAATGAGTGGAAACATGAATATAAACGTGTCATTTGAAAGTAGATTTGCTATGCTGTGCAATTTGCCTCCAAAGCTGCACAGATTCCCAAGGCGCTACTGCCTTTGCTTACTCTCTGTCCCTTTAAAGAGAACTGCTTGCAGCGATCGTTTTTTGGGTAAGTTTTGTAGGTGGTTCACTGCTAAATTAATAAAATCAGATCAATTGCAACTGTGACATGAGGTGTGATTTGTTATCATGATCAATAGTCATAATGTAATTCATGTAAGAATTTCCCTTTAAAACCCGAGACAGTAAATTATTAACAAGAGTGAACTGAAATGAGATTTCAGCCATCCTTCAAAGTTGCTTTAAAATGAGAAAATAAATTGAGTGGGAAAGAGCCGACTCTTTAAGCTACGTTACGAAACCATAGAGACAAAATCTTTTTTTTTTTTTTTGTTCTTTGGGACACGATTGACTCGTGAATAGTGTGTGCACATGCATGCCAGGTATTCTTTGTGGAGGATTGTGTAGTATCTTGGCTAGTTTCGATATATGCACACAATCGCAGTCACCTCCGCTCATCTTCACAATCTAACCTGACACATATGACACAAACTAATCATATGTGGACAGCCACTGGGGTAAGGGGGGGGGGAGGGGAGGGGATTTCACCGCTCGGTCTCACACATAAGCTGAGCACGCCCAGTTTGTGTGGATTCACATCCATCGTACGAACTGAGATTTTCAATGTGTACATTCAAATACAGTCACATAACAAGCATGCACCCATGCAGAAATAACCAAAACAAGTTAGCCTCAACAAAATATGGTGATAAAAGTGAGGGGTTCAGGGGTCTGTTTCAGTGCAGTTGTTGTCGTTTTTAAAAAAATAAATTCTGTTCTTTTTATTTACACAACCATCAGCTGCAGAACTGGTGTCTTTGCACACTCCCACACTCCCTCCTTCTTTCATCTTCTCCCACTACTGATAACTACAGTTCCCCAGAGAGCCCTTTGGAGGGTGCTGCTGTACTCACCAGCTCATCATCATGCATAACGCTGACTCTCTCTGCACTGTAAACCACTTCTTTAACATCCAGTGACTCATCAATCACCTGTCAACACAGACAGGGGAGCCCAGGTTACACTCACCACAACGTGTGTGTGAGATCGTGCATGTACGACAGAGAGAAATAGGAAGAGAGAGGCGGGGGAGAGTGAGAGGGTGTGAATGTGCAACGCAGTAAACTGTTCAGGATTATCTGTGTTTGGGTGATGATACATTTGGAGCTGTCTTGTTCAAACTGGAAGGAGAGAGGGAGGGGGGGTTGCAAGCATCAACAACAGACTTTCTTCTAGGAACACAGTTAACAAGTCTTTCTAAGCAGACTGTCAGCCTCTCATTACTGAGAGCCCCGGTCTGAAGAATAAGCACTATGAGTGGAGTGGGTGTGTTCAGGAGGCAGAAACTAAATCTGCTGTTTGTAGAGACAGAGCACTCCAGAGTCTGTTTGTCACAGAACATAACCACGACGAACATTTTAGCTGTCACCACCGTTTTTACATTTTTTTTCCCCAGATTGCTTTGCTTTCAAAAAAACAACCCACTAGCATTTCCAAAAAAATACATGCATGCACTCCAAAAAACTTGCATAACTCACATTAACACAGACACGTAAAAGTACACGCAGCTTTACAGTTGATGTTGGATTAGCATGCGAAACAGCAAACATAACACTCGCGCACACAGCTGCCAAGCATAATTTGAAATCCATGAAGAAGACTGCTGCGCTTGGCAAAGGAAAGTAACATGCGATGACTGCTGAACAAAGTGTAGAGTTGATCTGAATGAGGGTCGGTTGGCAGAAGCCAAACGCCGACACGCAAATAGCTCAGTGTTAGTTAGCCGTAACTATGACAACATAGTTACTGGAATAATCTGTCTCATTAAATGCTGAACTTAAGACCTATGTGAAAGCACAGTGTACTCATTAATCTGTCTCATCAGCACAACTGTATCGAATTGGGGTTGCTGGAATGATATCTAACTGTTTGTGTCTTGTGTTTTGCTTTAACAATGCTTCTCTCAAGTCAGAAAGAAAAATATGTTTTGAGGCACGAACGCAATCACAAACTGACAATAGAGCTCTTACCACATTCTCGCTGACCTTTGGTTTGCTGTTGATGATTCTCTCCTCAGCACCAATTAAACCATCTAAGCCAGACATGGCAGACCCTGGAGGAGGTAAAGGAGCACAGTCAATAACAGCAAGTTAGCACAAGCAAACAACCAAACTGGGATGGCGGTATCGGTGGTGGATAGCTGCACATAGATATCCAGCTACTGTCCTCGCACCCGTTGCATCAGTCTCCTTAGTTCACTGGTAACAACAAAGACCTTTCTTCCCTTCAGCACAGAGCGAGCACTGTGAGCATGACGCTGACCTTCTACAAAGGCCCCCTCGAAGTGGTGCTTTGCATTTATCTGCAATTTCTCTGTAAACATGCAGTGAGTCACTGAACGAGACCCCACTAAACGACTGTGAATATCCTGGTATTTTGTATCCCTCACATAACCGTCTCACTGTAGTTCAACTCATACAAATCTTCAAAAATATATGCCACACTTACAGTTTCATACCAGGGACAAACACATCAGAAAAGGTGACGAGAGTAACATTCAGTATCAGCTTATTGCCTTAAGTATGCACGTTTGCAAGCCTCGTTGAGCAGTGGTGCCAATCACTCTGGCAGTGCAGGTTATCAGATTGTACTGCATGCTGCGTATAATCTTATATCCAGCTATGACAGTCACAGCACCATGGGAACAATGGGACCACTCATGTATATAGATTTAATAAGTCCTGAAGCAGTTTTCCTATTTTGCTTAAAAAAAAAGAAGAATTTAAGTCATTTATCAACAGATTAAACTGTGTATTTCAGGCTGTGGGTCAGCAGAGGAAACACTGAGCCTCAAACAGGGACACTAAATCTACCAACTTCTATCAGGAAGTAGGAAACTGAGGAGGGAAATGAGTTTGTGGGAGGTGAAATAATTACGGTATTTTGACAAATGCACTGAGAACAGGATGACAACGAACACACAACAGTGTCTCTGACGCGGGGCTCATTGTGACCTAGCTCTACCTGATTTCAAAGCCACTGAATGGGTTATTTACCATGAAGTGATAATCCTAGTATGACAAAAAGCACAAAACGTAGCTGGGGGCCAACGGAAAAAAAAAAAAGTAGAAAACAACCAGACGGCTTCGGATAAAACAGAAACAGTAAGAATACCGAAAGGAAGAGGAGAAGGAGCAGAGTGAAACAAAATAGTAGATGGGAATGGCTCGGGGAGATGAGTGGGGGCAGAAAAACAAGATGCAACAGAGGCACCAACCTTTCTTGAAGGCACGTGGGGAGTCTGATAGATCGCCTTGGCATTTGAAATGAGCAACAGAAAAAAAGAAGGTCAGAAAAGGGAAAGGAGAGAAGAGAAAAGAACTCAGGTGAGAAGAGAAAAGGCAGGATTATCAAGCTGTGTTAATTGATTAGGAAGAGTTCAGCAGGGAAGAATCCAAAAATAAATGATAAAGATAACTAAACTCCAGAAATGGAGCCATTTTAGAATTGGCTAGCTCTGTCTAAGCCCTCTGGGCTGTTGGTTTGGATATTAAATGTTGCTCGGGGCTTTACTAGTAATTTGCCTTCCTTCTCGCTGGAAGCGTTCCATCCATCATTTTTTCTCTCCTTGAGGATTCAATCTTTTGATTGGCGCAGATGTAAAAAAGAATAGAACCATAACTGCTTGTTTCTTTCCCTCTTGCTTTTGGCTCAAGCTTAGTAGCAGACCCTGAGGCTTTGTGACTTTTTAAAAAAAAATCTTAGCAGTTCTGTGTTGAAGGCTAAGCCAGTGGGAAATATGCAGGCGCAGATAAGTCTCAACCGTGGACTACAGTGCACATTTGCTTGGCTCAAAACACAATGTAAACTTATTCTCTTTCACTGCAACATGCTTCGTCACCACTGCCCTTCAGAAAGACTTATGGGTAAGGGCTATTGTTCTCCTCACAGCCACAGCGTTGTTCACGATGTTGCTCGTGACTGTGTCTGAGGCTGGAGCTGCTCACCCTCTGGATCTGGACGGGACCCCAAGGATGTGACCTGGATGGGCCGGTAGGGTTTGCCCTCAGACAAAGGGACTTCCACGCTCTCCTCTGATGAGACGGTGACATCTGGCTGTGATTCTGAGATGGATGACAGGAACTGGTCCATGTCAGCTTTCTGCTCTTGGAGTAGCTCATCTGCAGAAAAGGGCAAATGACAGAGTATAAACCTGGGGCATGCCGACACCTGTAAACCGGGGACACGGCAGCAGCAGCGGTTTCTAAAATAAGCTTCATTGATTACTGTTAGCATATTTTCCCCCAGCAGTCAGAACTGCTGCAAGAAACGTCTGTTCCCATTTCTGCTAACTACCAATTATTATTTTTCTGAGAGCTATTTTCCGTGTAAATCTGCACAACTCCCAACAGAACACTGCACGGTGAAAGCTGTGACCCAGTTCTGTCACTGCACCCACTCCACTTTAACGTGTGCTGCATCACTATACTATGGCTCCTTTAACGGAGCAAAGGAAACAAAAGAAAAAATATTTTAATGAGTGGACACCGTCTGCTTTAAATTGCACTGCTACGTCCCGACAGGTCTAATTGGAAAAATGAGGGGTTGTGAGCAGAGGCGCCTTAAAAACAGAGTAATAGCTGTATATACAGCTGCATAGCTGTATTCAATTTTCCACAACTCAGCCTTTTCTCTGTTTTTAATAATTGGAGTGCTAAAACCTTCCATCTGGTTTCTTTTAGTGTTTGTATTTCCTTCTGCACAAAGAGACTAATGGCAAAGGATACAAGTAAAAGGTCCCAAATGAGCCAGAGAAAATGTGACGTACTGACTTCTTTCTGGCACATTTCCATTGCTGTTTTTAATCTGACTTCATCAAGTTGCCCGGGGATCTTTCACTGAACAGGACTCACCAATTTCATCCTGAATCTCTTCGGCCACATATGGCACTTTGTAGAGCAGTGACAGACTCTGGTTCATCCTCTCCTCGATCACTCGCAGGTGAGTCATCACCTGAATTTAAAACAAACAAACAGGGTATCACGTGACAAAAGAAATTAGCACATGATTCTATTTAGTTTAATTAAAACCAATCCACTAATTGGAGACAAGCGCTTTGATAATTCAAATTCAGCATCAGTTCCCAAAGACTCCCGAAAGAGTTTCCCCATTTAAGACACATAATTTAATTCAATTTATAATTTTATAGGAAACCTAAAAATCCTTAATAATGATCAAGAAGGATTATGTTTCTGGATCATGAAACATTAGTTTAAATGGCCAATTTTATGGTATTTAACACATTTCAATTACTGTAACATTAAACCAGTGAATATATCTGTGAATATATACCAGTTAAGATAAAATAAAACAAACAAAAAAAAAAAACATGATTATCCCAGAAAATCCCTCTTTATTGCCACTGGTTACCTTTTGTCACCTAATAATATCTCAGATCACAGCATTGACTTTTCATGTTTGGAAATTTGCACAGAGAAGCTGTTGACAGTGACACGAGGTCACTGTGTGTGAAAAGATTAAAATTAATCTTCAGATATGGAGGTAGAATCTAACTGAAATCTGAAGGAAAATAATGACAAAAAAGAAAAGGGAAAAGTTGGGAAAAGGACACAAAAGGAGAAGATCTAATGCCCCATGAGAAGTGAAAAGGCTATTTATCAGTGTTTCTGAAACTGACTTAAAAATTTCCCCAAATGTAATGAATCACTATACAGTACAAACTTGAGGGCAGACAGCTCTCTGTTCTCCAACTAGTATATTTATGTACTAAACTAAAGAGGGCTTTTCATGACCACACAATTAAACAGAGCCGCCTCAGAGAAGAATTGCGCTTTCAGGAAGTGTGCATATTCCCTGAGATGAATCCAGACTCGCTCACAGCCAGCTGACTTCCAAACATAAAACAAGTCGCTGCGTGTAATATTCAAATTAGTCTTGAAGCTCCGAGCCGCTCTGACAGGATCTGCAGCCTGTCGGCCCCAATGATCGCCACCATATCACAGTGTTGCAAAAATAAAAGCAACGTTTGATGGAAAAGATTTTTTAAAAAATGTGGCGTGTCCAAAAACATTTCCAGTCACTACCACTATTTCTATAAACAACATGATGTTTGAAGAGGAGAAATATTTCAGTATTCTTGCTGCCAAAATGGTTGGCAGGAAATAAAAAGCCCCCACAGACAAAGCTGACCAGCTTTTGGCAGGTAACCGGTGTTTATTTCCAACTATGATGATTGACTGCTTTAATCTTCCAGCACATGGCTGCAGTGCACCAGCGCCAGCAACAGATGGCAATGATGCACCTTTCCCTATTAAAGGTGCTCTGCAGCCCGCTGGCACCTTCCTGTCTGTGTCTAAGAAGCATTTCTGATTAAGGAGACAACATTGTCCCCATGTTGGAAAAAGCAATTTTGATGCATCAAGCAACCTTACTAAAGTCAGACAGGTGAGGGTAAAACTGAAAATAAGTCTAGGAAGACAGAGGCTCTAGGCTTGGCAAAAAAAAAAAAAAATACATAAATTGTCAGGGCACAACAGCATAGATCGTTTTTTCTTCACCATCTCCCAGATCCACCTATTTATCTTAAAAGAAACTCTTCCGTTCCTCTGTTGTCTGTGTCTTTCATCCATCTGCTGCATGATCAGTAATGGTGGAGGATAAATGGTGTCGAAGGGCACTGACACACACACACAAACACACACGGAGACGAGCACATCTAATAGAGGAGCTTCTAGCCAAATCCCCGTGCAGCCGCTCAGAGTCCAGCATTACACAAGACCTGCGCAATGTTAATCTTCGGCTGAGGCTTAACTGAATGAAGCACTCGCCCTCCCTCCATCAGGCAAGCCTACTCACTCCTCCTGGGCTTCAGCTAAGAGCAACAGACACTCTTTCTACCTCCTACACACTTACAAACAGGCCAGAAAGGAGCAGGAGACATCATTATCCCTGCCTTGTCTGAGCAGGAATAGGAGTATATAATCTTAGATTGGCTCGGCATGCGGTTTCAGATTTATTGAGACGGTGTCCAATACATTACATCTTCATTGTCAAAACCAGCTGCAGGGACCAATTAAGAAAATTGAACTGTACAAATGCAAAATACTACGCATTGATAAATGATTAGCTGTTTTAATCTAATTAATTCTAACAAAAAAAAGATAAACATTTCCTGAATCACACGTTCATAATGTGGGGATTTTATGTCATTACCTCTGGGCCCTGACAATTCTTAACCTAAATCAAATGTATTGTATTAGTGATATAGTGATAATTATCAGGAACAAACCCACTGACCTGTGACTTCATCTGAGCAGCCTTCTCAGGATCAACAGCCAGAACATGCTGGTAGTGGCGGATGGTGTGCTGGCGGTCCTTGTTTTCAGCACGGACGTACCTTCTCAGGGCTTGCAGGATGCGGTGGGGCTGCGGAAAAATGGGGCAGGGTGATCAGTTGGGTCGAATGGTACAATATGGCCTTGGAAACATTTCTGTATAACACTGGCTGTTGCATGATTGAATATTCCTGTTTC